GCAGCAGTAGTAGCAGTAGTAGCAGTAGTAGCAGTAGTAGTAGTAGTAGTAGCAGTAGTAGGTGGTAGTAGTAGTAGTAGCAGCAGTAGTAGTAGTAGCAGTAGTAGTCGTAGTAGTCGTCGTCGTAGTAGTCGTCGTCGTCGTCGTAGTAGTAGTAGTAGTAGTAGTAGTAGCAGTAGTAGTAGTAGCAGTAGTAGTAGTAGTAGTAGTGATAGTATTGGTAGTAGTGGTGGTAGTGGTAGTAGCAGTGTGAGTCGTAGTACCACAAGAGTTGAGTGCTTGACGCAGTTCTTCTTGATGGCGCGATGTTCTTCAGCACAAGCTTGGACGAACCACACGCACCCCTCAGCACAGGCATACGGTCAACATGTGAAAAACATACCTCGAACTCTGCGAAATCTGAATGTCATGTTGTGGCAGTTTTTAACTGAAATTGCACGGCACGGCTGTTCCTTCGGGCTGCCTGCTCCTTCGGGCCCACCATTACATGGTCCCTAGGAGAACCTCCAGCTACGCCCTGAAACTTTGCCCTGCTCCTGCAAAACCTAGGTCTTGGCCTGAGACGACACACCATCTGAATCACCTCTGTATCGGCAATGGTTTGTCAGAAAAAAAAATCAAGTGCAGTTTTTGCCTTGGTAGGGCATGGGGGAGGGGCGACAGGGGGAGGGAGGAGGCTGGGGGATGGGAAAGCCGTCGCATAGAACAAGCCAGGGGCAAATAAGGAAACACCGGGTAGGCATAAAAAGAACAACCATTCGCATAATGCCTGACCACCAAAGTCCCTCATTCAAGCTGTGGGCGCTGTCATCTTCGACAGAGAGCATAAGGAATAAGGAAACACCTTCAGCACAGACGTACATAAAAGTAACGCCCCCACCAAACGACCCGCGCGATAGCAGGAGGGCTGCCCAAGGCAACAACTGCAGAATTAACCGAGGTAAAACGATGATTTCTGGATTATCAGTTCTTGTTTTGGGAGACATCTTTATCTCTGAAACTACTATTTTAGGTGGTTTTGCGACAGCAAAATGAGAATTTGCCTTTGATAGCTTGATTGTCCGGCAGGATGTGTTTGGAGTTTTCCGGATAAAATGGCCTTTTTGGATTTCTGTCGAGGTGTGGGTGTTTGGGGCTTCTGTGTTGCCAAGCCTTTGTAGTCTTTGGGAGGCGTTAGGGCAAAAAATGTAGTTTGCTGCGGAAAAACGAGGGTTTCTGCTTTATCAGCTCTTGTTTTGGGAGACAGCCTTGCGCAACCTCTACAGTTGTCGGGCCTTTCTTTCGTCATTGATTCATGGTTGGAATTGGTGTTTTTTTCGTGGTTTTGCCGAAGCGAAAGCAAGTCGTGGGATGTCGGGTTGAAGCTTTGAACTTGAAGGTTTTGGAGCTTGCACTGCTTCGCCAGGGCCTGGGATGCTGGTTTTAAGCTTCTAGCTGGAGGGCTTTGGGTTTGCTTGCTTGGGATTTTTGTTTGGAGTTTAAGGATTTAGGCCTAGCCGCTGTGCAACTGTACTAGTATACGACTATAGGAGCCCCTGACTACGATGGTTGTAAGACCACGAGGTAGAAGTGCAGCAGCAGTGGCGGCTGCAGCAGCAGCAGCATAGCAAGGGTGGTAGCACAACTTATAGTTGTAAGACCATGCAGTAGAGGTGCAGCAGCATTGGCAGCAGCAGCGGCAGCAG